CACCAACTTTTGGGAGTTCACTTCTAACCACCTTGCCCTTAGACTGTCTCTCCCTCCAGAAAACAGGCTGAGGCAGTTTGCAACAACTGTTTGCCTTTCATGGAGGAAAACAACTATCAAGGAAATGATTTATATTCATGCCTAAAAATGCTAACTAAGAGTAAGAAAGAGATATTAGTCAGCCTTTTCTTTCCTGTGTGCATACAAGACTAACAAATGTGCCTTTACTAACATAAAATATGATTGCTAGATGATAAGTATGTTTAACCTGTGAGCTTCAGAGTTATAAAACTTTTTAAATGAACTTAAAGATGTGGCCTTGTTTTGCTGCTAGAAAAAGTTGTCTAGATCATTAAGTAAGTAACACAGGTGCCTTGGAGGTTTTTTCCTGGGTGAAATCCTTCAAGATATTTGTTTGTTTTGGTCTTAAAGTGATCTTTGCAAGATAAAAGGTGTTGTCCTTTAATCTGTTTGCCTCACCCTCTTTCAAAGAATTAATAATCAGTGGGTTAAGACAAAGTAATGCTTCCTTCTTTCAACATTACTCTCATAGGTGAGACCAATTGTGACTTGCACTTGTAAGTGTCCTGCAGGAGTTAGTTCATTAGCTCCCTGGAAAGGTGAAACTGTACCAGTTTGAAAGTGGATACACTGGTCACATTTTGACTTCTGCTCTCTCTTCAGACAGCATCCACCTGCTCTGGAATGGAATCTACACAAAGGATGCCACGAGGGTTTGAATAGAAATTAAAGGGGACTCCCACTTTCTTTTTGCATTTCAGACATTGGGGGCTCAATGTTGAAGTCTCTTGCTCCTTTGGAATGCATTCATAAGCACTGGAAGATGTTTACTCCTTACCTGATGAAAAAGAACCATCAGATATTTTTGTGCACATGTGCACAGCTTACATATCCCCTAGAGCCAAGATGGAATGCAGAGAGTATTAATTATGATGCTATTTTATAATTACAATCATACTGTAAAAAAAGAGGGGAAATGGTCAGAATTACCTTATGCTCAAACTTTTACATTAAGAAGTAATTCTTATTTAGATTCAAAGTATAATTATAATTCATATGAGACTACTTAGGTTTATATATCTCTTTCTCTTATGACCTAAACAGATCAAGCTGGATCTTGGAAAATATTCAGATGACCCTGGTAAGTACTTTGAGGTCTTTAGAGAATTTACTCAGACCTATAATTTAGACTGGAAAGATGTAATGTTAATCTTAAATCAAACATTGATTTGTAATGAGAGAAAAGCAGTGTTACAAGCTGCTGTTGCATTTGGGGATGAATATCATACTGTTAATTTTAAACAGCCAGAAGATCGACAGTCAGAGTAACAACCAGCTCTCACTGGAACAAAAGCAGTCCCCACCCAAGAGGCCTCCTGGCCTAACAATCACACAGGAGACTGGAGCGGGAGAAATTTTCAAGTATGTATTCTTGAATGTCTAAGAAGGACAAGGACCGAGCCTTCTAATTATTTTTTTAATCTTTTTTTTTTTTTTATCGGTACTGGGGATCGAACTCACGACCACCTGCTTGCAAAGCAGGTGCTTATGCCGCTGAGCTAAATCCCCTCCCGCCTTCTAATTATTTTAAGTTGTCAGCTATTTATCAAGCTATTTATCTTAGATTGTTTACAAAAAGCACTGTTAAAACATGTTAATAGCTCCTAATTCAATAGGACATATTATACTGAAAGACCCTTTTATTACCCAGTCAGCCCCAGATATTAAGAAAAAGTTACAAAAGATAGCTTTTGATCTAGACAGATCACATGATACTTACATAAAAACTGCTCCTTAGTATTATTCTACAATCAAGACTAGGAGGAAGCCAAGGAGAGAAAGCAAAGAGACCAAAAAGTGGCTGCTTTTGTTGCAGTCTTTACAAAACAGACCCTAAGTCTGATTCTTTTGGCTCAAGAGGAGTTTGATGACTGCCAACCTCACCTGCTTCCTCCGGCATAAGCAAGGCCACCTTAAGAGAGATTTATTAAGAGGCCCAATCCATGCCCTGACTGCAGAGCTGCCTCTGGAAGTGAGACTGCACTCTGAGGTGGTGGCCCCAGAGCTTGGACTCATCTTCTTAGCTGGTCTAACAAGACTGAAGGGCCCCAGAGCACTCTGCCCTCTCCCTCTGCCATCTCCACCTGTCATCTTTCACAGAGGATCCCTGAGTAGTCATGACTCTAGAGGGAAAAGAAACCAGCATATTTCTAGACACTGGCACATGGCTCTTTGTCCTTCTCTTGAACCCTGGCCTTCCTTCCAGACATCATACCTCAATAAACAGAGTCACCAGATAAAAGGTAACTCACTTAAACTGTAACTGAGATGATTTTCTCCTCACCTATTCCTCTTAGTTATGTCTAAAGCTCAGCTCTCATCCTGGGGAGAATATTTTAATCCTGTCTAAATACTATATTATATATACCCAGGTTGCCAACTAGTCAAAATGACACTTAGACTAGTTTCAAAATACAATATATTGCTATGTAAATAACTTGAGTTTTTATCAGTCAAAAATGGGTTAATTGTTATAATCTATTTCTCATAAGTCATCAAAATTTTAGAGAAAAAACTAGAAGGACTTAAAATATCAGACTCCAATAGAGGGCTCTAAGAGCCAATGGGTTACAATTGCTATTCTTCTGGATACACCACACTCAACTCAAATTCTGGGAACCAGACTGTCTCTGAGTGTGAGCAACCATCACTGGAATACTCCTGTGAACCCACAGAAGACTTAAGATTCTTGCTCAAGAAAAATCAAAATCTTCAGATAAGTAACCTAAGATATTACTCTTGACCCTTTTACTAATCACTTTACCACTTTAAGGGAGAATGCAATTCCATTCGAAGGTGGGCATAAGAATATGCAGTCATTACAACAAATATCTTGCTGGATATGTGGCCTGTTCCCCTTGTCGAGTACATCAGGACTTCCTTGGTGGGTATCCCCACTCCAAGGAGATGATTAAAATACACTACAAGACTATATTGATGAGTTATGAAAGAGTTCAGTGGTTCATAGGTCAGCCCACCAATACAAAGTAGCACAGTGGTCTATAAACTACATTCTTTTTTTTGTCTTTTTCGTTTTTATCGGTACTAGGGATTGAACTCAGGACTGCCTGCTTGCAAAGCAAGCGCTTATGCCACTGAGCTAAATCCCCAGCCCCTAAACTACATTCTTAATTATAGAACATAATAGAATTTTTTCTAATACCACTGAAGCCTCTCTAAAGGCTCTAATATAACCCCTATTAAATAAAAATAAGGATTCTATCCTGAGAAGTAACAACCATAGATATCAAGATGGCTACTTCCAGATATGGGATGATTATCCATGGTTAACTCTCACTGTAGGACATCTTAGTAGAAAAGCCCCCTTTATGTCGGGAACTGAAAAATTGCTCCTATTCTCATTGTCCTAACTCTACTAAACACTTGAGATGAACATCTCTCAAACAATGAGCACAGAATAACTTTACAGGCTGAGGACTGGTTTGCTACAAACTAGTTTAATTGCCCTAGAATTAGATAGGAAGCTCCCAGTGACACTCACTGGTTCCGTGGTACCAATTTGTAGCCCTGGCTACCCCCTGAATGCATAGGTAGGAAGATGCACCCTGGGATTTATAAAAGGGTCAAAAGTACTGACAAACCTGCTAAATTGGCCTGCCTGCAGCATAGATGATCTAGAGGTGTTTCACTGGTATGATCACTTGGCCTCTATCTTTATTTCTTCCCTAGGGTTAAAGAATGTCATTCATCACTTTGAAGTCTTAACTAACTATATTCAGTGGGCCTTAAATGACACCACAGTAAGTGTCTGTCTCCTGAATAAAGAAGTAAAATTAATGAGGCAAGCCAACCTCCAAAATCAGATGGCATTAGACATTCTAGCAGCAGCCCAAGAGGGTACTTGTGCAATTCTAAAATCTGAATGTTGTGTGTATATTCCTGTTCCTTCTGCTAATATCTCAACAGCTGTTCAAAATATTAGAAGACAGATTAATGACACGTCAGATTTTGAAATTCTCTAGATCATCTCCTTAGCTACTTTATGGAAAACATCTATTGGCTCCTCCTGGTGGAAAACCTTGTTGGCTATATTCATAATTGTCCTGCTGATTTTATTACTTAGTCCATGCCTACTTAACTTTCTGTGGCCGTATCTCTTCCAGACTTTAAGTTGTGTGTTTGCCCAAGAACAGCTGGTGTCTATAGAAGGCATTTAGATAGACCCTCCATGTATCTCTGACTGCCGATCACAACCACAGTTCTTTTCAGCTGAACATAGTCAGACTGGTCCTTGACGCTTACCTCCTCATGGCAGTTAAGGGTACTTCTTCACAGGGAGGAGTTCTATAGATAGGTAAGTTACGTAGAAATATTTTAGGCAGTGACACACAGCTGAGCCCTTAAGAGGTCAATGAAGAAGACAACTGTGGCTGGGGCATATTCACTGAAGGCCAGACTTCAAGAAAAAGAAGAATTACTCACCCATGTACTTCCCCTAGGAATGAACAGCGTGTCATGGTTTATGTCAGTGGTTCTCAAGCCTCATGCATTTGCATTGTGCATTTGTGACTGGTTCATGGTCTAGTGCTTGGATTGATGGTGTCAGTGCTACACCCACCAAGGGATGGAGTCCGCATACGAGATAATGGCAGGAAGAAGGTGTATCTCTCTTGTGGGTGTCCGTCTTGCTGTTATAGTTGCCATGAACTATGCATGCCACCCTGCCTTGGAGCCAACTGAGTCTGGACTGAAACCTCCACAAACTGTAAGAAATAAACCTTTCCTTTCCCAACTTTGGGCATCAGGTATTTTGTCTCAGCGACGAGTAAAAAGTAACTTAGACAAGTAGTGACTGATATTCTTTTTTTTAATCAAACATTTTTCCTTTTTTATTGTTATTTCCTTTGCTCCAGCACAAATTAGGAAGTATTCAGTTATTTTTCAATAATTTTATGACAGGCAGATGATGTTTATTCTCACAAGGGTCTTTAGAAGTCCACCCCAGGCATGGCTCAGAAAGCTGGCTGGCAACACTGATGCCAGAAACAGGGTTTGGAGACCCATGCTCAGCTGATTCTGATTTCCAGTATGCCCTGGCTCCCCAGAACCCCTTTTCCAACAAGGCCTGAGTGACCTTGATCTGCTGTCCCCCCCCCCCTCCCCGGAGTGGTGACCAAGATGAAAATGCAGGGGACCATTGTCATCCACTGATGCTGTTCACTACAGCCACAAATACAATCCACTTTGAGAAATGCCACAAGAATATGTCCATGCACCTGTCCCCCTGCTTCAGGGACGTTCAGATCAGTGACATTGTGGGTGAGTGCAGGCCACTGAGCAAGACAATACACTTCCACACACTTAAGGTCACCAGGGATGCCTACACCAAGAAGCAGTTCCAGAAGTTCTGATGTCACCTGGCTGTACCCCAAAGGGAATAAAGCTATTCTGGCTCTCACAGAAATCATCATAATAATAATTTTATGACATTAATTTCCTATTGTTTTATTTTATAACAGGTTAAATAAGACTAATTCTTAATGTGACTGATATTCTAAGTAGGTGTCAATCACCTTGGGCTGGAGACCAAATCTCCTTAGCCCACCCCTTCCAGGAAAGTCCTTGTCTGCCCATAAGTGCTTTCTATGTGACTTGTTTCCACATTTAATTCCCATTTAATCAATATTACCCTAGCAACCATATTTGTTATACATTTATTGGTTGGCTGTAGTTTTGTCCCACCTCATACTCATCCTATGATTTGCCATTGCATCAATATTACCTAAGTGATTATATTTAAACTCCTATTGATTGACTGTAGTTCTGTCTCACCTTAAGCCAGCCTCTGAGAGGCTCATGGCTTTGCTCAGTAAAACACCCTTGAGAAGTGAAGTTAGTGGGCAACCCACTTTCCAGGGCCCCTTTAGTCCCTCTCAAACAGAAACATTTTTCTCTCAAATTCTTTCTACTCTTAAATAAAGATCCATCAATAATAGTGCACTGCATTGTTGTATACAGAAATTTCTGCACTTTTCTCAAAGGTTATGTATCTGAGCTCTTCCATATGCTACCCACTAGCTACATGTGACGACTGGGCACTTGAAAGGTGATTGTGGTTGGGAAGAACTAAAGTTTAAATTTTACTTTGTTTTAATTAATTGAGATTGCCACCTCTGGGAATGACTATATTATAAATATAGGGCAAAATATAAATAACACAACATAAACTATTGTGTCTAATATAACATAAAATTTTAAATTCTGTTTAAAACAGCAAAAAAATCACAGATCTAGGAAAATTTTTAACTACAAAAGTGTGGTACTATATTAAGAAATATAAAGTCTTACTGAAGCTATAAAAAGTAATTGACATAAAAAGAGACACAATGTTCTTAAAGAAGAGTATGGTAAAAACATTAACTTTTTCCAAATTAATGTTTAGGTTTTAATATACTTCAATTAAAACCACAGTAACTTTTTAATTAATCTGACAAAATTATATTAAAATGCATCTATATAATTAGGTAGGTGGAGAAAAAGCACCAGAGGAGGACCAGCTTCACTGGACGTCAAAATGTGTATGGCAGTAGCAACTCTGCTCTGCAGAACAGTCTAGAATCAGTCTCTAAATTATACAAGAAAAGTCTATGAAAATGAGGCCTCACAAACTTGTGTAAGAGACTAATCTATTAATTCCACTGAAACAAATGGGTTATCTACTTAAGGAAAAATCAGATTGGCTTTGAACCTCATTCATACCACACACTATAATTAATTGTAAATAAATAAAATTTTAATCCACAGATGGCTCAATAATATTTAGAAGTAAATCAGCTAAGTCTACATATAGTCAGTCTTCTACATCCATGACCTCCATATCCATGGATTCAAGCAATCATCAAAAAAAATAAAAAACTGTGTCTATACTGATTGTGCACAGACTTTTTTGCTTCTCATTATTCTCTATACCATAACAACTATTTGCATAATAATTTAAAGTATATAAGAAGATGTACATAAGGTTATGTGCAAATACTATGCCATTGTATATAAGGGATTTGAGCATCCACAGATTTCAGAACCAATCTCCCACAGGTATTAAAGACAGCTGTACATTCAACACAGATATTAAATTCTCCCAGCAGGCAAAACATGGCCATGATAGCCTTCTAAGAGAAGACCCTCAAAATATTCCCATTACCTCTCATTGCCAATCCCTGCTACTCAAAAGGTAATCCACAGACCAGCTGCATTGACAGCATCTTGGCACTTGATAAAAATACCAAATCTCAGAGCCCACTCTAGGTCTGTTGAATAGGCTCCAATGCATCAAGAGCCCACAGGTAAACCACACACACCAAACTGGGAAGCACTGAAGCAAGGGACAAGAGGCTGTATATCCAACAACCATGATCCAGGAGCCACCAGCTCCCAATCATCTCTCTTCTGTATGTCGTGACTGTAGTGAAGAGGTCGTGCAGGGTAACTGTTTGCAGAGATGTAGAACTTGGATGGAGAGGCCAAATGCACATCAATAAATATATCTCTACTCCAGAATGACTGACCTCACTTGAGCTGCAAGCCAAGTAATGGTCTTCAGGTAGGAGTGTTTGGTTATGAAGCTCTGGCTCATAAAGCATCATTTCAGGAATAGACAATAAAATGCAATAGGAATAGTGCTTTTCAAAAATCAAAACCATGGGGCCGGGGGTTTAGCTCAGTGGCGTAAGTGCCTGCCTGGCAAGTGCAAGGTTATGAGTTCAATCTCTGATAAAAAAAAAAAAAAAAAAAAGAACTGTTAACAAAAATCAAAACCATAACTCTATAAAGTAGTCAAATGCAATTTTAAACTTATATAATAAGTGTGGAACTATAAAAAGAGGCTCATTTTAAAGAAATATTTTCCCAGGATGCTGATAATGAGTGATATGCTTATATAGAACAATTGGCTGGTGGAGGGGCAGTCTTGGTTTGTAAGGTTTGCTGATTTCCCTCGTGTAAATATTCTCGTTTTGGCTTTCAGAGTCACCGAACTTGCAGTTGGGAAGAGATGGGCACAGCTGGATTTTACAAGCAGCTCCAGCACTACTGAAGTGATGCAATGTCTATAAACGCTTCACTGTTTCTGAGTTCTGTCACCGCCCCATATGTGTGCCTGGCCCTCACAGCTTGCAAAGGTGACCATAACGCAGCTCAGTTCCAGGATGTGCACAGTACAGCATCTTGCCTATCTTTCTCCATTGACAGCCGAAGAATACAGCACTCAGTAGGCCCCGGGGCTAGGCCAGCCACCTTTTGTCCATTGCCTTGATTCATCCAGTTTCATGAGGAAGCTATTCATGTCTCCACTTTACAGATGAGAAAGCAAAGTTTCCCCCTTGAGAGAGGGAGGATTTGACCAAGATCATGCAGGCAGGAAGAAGTTTGCAGGTGCCAGCCAAGGTCCCCTGATTCCCAAACCAGAACCCACACACCCCAAGCCAGCGCTTCCCAGTTTCATATACTAAGTAGTCCCCATGGATCTATTTTCTTTCCTGCAGGAAGTGGTGCCTGTGGTAGTCAGGGGTTGTATACAGAGAACAACTAGGACTAGGACATGGAGTTTATAATATTTTTGTAATGGTCACCAAAAGTTAACACAGGAAAATGCAGGAAATCTATCTGCAACACCAAATACATAGTTTATTTAGTCAAGAGCCTAAACCCACATGAGTCCAGATAAAAACCCAGAGCTCAGGACAATGCCTCCCACAAGTCCAACTGGAGGTCGAGCCCACAAGAAGGACTCACACCAGTCTCTTTTACAAATCCGTGCCAGGAAGACCCAAGGGTCAGCGGTGGAAGCCAGAAAGTCTATGCCAGCAGGATGAAGGAGCTGTGCTAGTGGGATGAGTGTTCTACATTGGAGCCAAGAAGTCACACTCACAACGAAGACCAGGGCTATCCTGAAGGCACCACAGCTGTCCTCAGCGACATGGAGGCCCCAAGCTCCTCTGACGACAAGCACAGTCAGGTATGTGCCAGGAAGCAGCGTGACGAGTTTATCCTGGAGACCAAGCAGCACATGTCTTCCCCTCCGGAGCCAGGAAGCAATGCTCGATGTGAGGACCAAAGCTTCTCCAGGAGAACCAACAGCTCAGACAGCAACTCGTAGGAGAACCCACAACGCCTCCTTAACGCCTCAATCCTTCATCACCCCCTTCTTCTCCACCTATTTATCTTGGCAACCCTCTTCAGGTGGAACATCTTCTCTCAATGCATGCTGATGTAATCCAGCTGGTGTTAAGTTGACCACCAGTTCTCAAACCATAACAGTGCCTTTACAATCCTAATAAATACGGTACTCCAAGAGAAAGGCTAGGCAACCAATGTAGCTGCTCCTGGAATCCTTTTTCACTGCGACTTTTTCACTGAGGGGCACATTTGGAGACTGCTGCACTACTCAGCAATCCACCAGAAGCTACAGGCTCCTAAGACTTTAGGTCATCCGGCCAAACTCACCATCTGAGGCCTGCGTGGCCTGTGCTCACACACATCCACAGACAGGGACTCCATATCCTTCTGTCCAGCCCCTGTTCCTTCCAACTCAGAGTTGGGTCTTCTTTTAGAAGCACTAGAGAGACAGGGACCCTCTGTCTTGCACACTGGTCAGCCTGGCCGGGGCATCAGCAGTCCAATTTCAGCAAACACAAGCATGTTTCTCGCAGCATCCTCTTGATTCTAACTCTCAGTGGTTGTGCAACTTTGCTCCCTGTGTAAGAAATCTCCCAGTGAAAGTCTGAGAGGAAGAGTGGCTAATTTCAGAGTCAGAGAAGGACTCACCAAGTGGGGACATTCCAGGAGGAGGACAGCAAATGCATTGGCAGAAACTTGGCAGAAGGCTCATAGCAGGAAAGGGCATGCTGGTCAAAGGGACAGCATGTGAAAAGGCCCTGAGGTGACAAACAGCAATTCTCTGTCAGATCAAGCATGGAAAGGACTCAGTGTGGGGCCAGCTGGCATAGGGACCCAGTCACATGGATTACTAAAAATGGAGACAGCCAGGC